ATGAGCCTTACATTGTGCAAACTTGTGTGAATGACAAAAGACGCATAATACATTTATAAAGCTTGTGTGAAAGTATGAAATTTGCACACGATTAGGCTGGTATTTAAAATATTAATAATGTATAAAAAGTACAATGTTTTTCCGATAGCAAGTGAGAGCTATTAACCAGTATGACCCATGTTGAACCCACGTGTGGAATAAATTATTTAAAATACTGATAGTCACGTGAGTTCTACGCAGGTTAAAATTCCGCAAATGTCCGCACTGTAAAACATAGGTAGGTTTTGAATAAGTAAGTTTAAGTCGTGCCGCTTAGAGATATTTGTGTGTATTTGTTTTAAGAACACTGGAGGGAAAAAAAGAGTTTAGTGTCCTTCATAAAAGTGTCAAACAATTTTAACCTTCATGCAAGACAATTAAACAGTTATTGAAAGCCACCCAAATACCCTTTTTCAATTTCAAATTCAATGAAATTATATTGTAATTTTTCAAATTCAAGAGTACCAATTTCTTAGTTGAATCATTATAACTACAGGCAACTACACAACTTCATTCAATATTTTTAAAACAGGTTTGGCGCAAGACGTAACATTCCGTAAACGCGCCCCGACTATGATCCACCATCAGATTGTACAAGTATCGATTTAGATATATATTCCCCTTGATTTACATAAACGAAACTAAAAGAAGGTTTGGTACTTTTCCGGATTTAGGGTATCCATAGGCATTCAAAAATATTCAATTGTTTCAAATCCATGCTGATTTAAGTGATGCTTAACATGCTTTTTTAATTAGAAATATCCACTAGTATCCAACTATTACGAATAGAGAACGATTTGGTATTATATTCTAAAGAAAAATGGCACATAAAAAGAGCCCACTAAGTATTGCTTAAGTGCACTTAGATAACAATTCCAAACACTTATGTTCCACTTCGAGTTCTTAGACTCCTTCCTTGAGTAGGTGAGTAGGTAGTACTTCAGATAAAGCTTCTTACTGGTACTAGAAGATAAAAAAACCAGCATCCAATCGAATAACAGCAATGTGACGGTAATATATTTACGTTATATACGTTACTTTGTGGCAAAATCGAATCGCCCGAAATATCATTATATATTTTTTTATTAACAAGGCAGCATATTTAATTCATTTTCAAATCCAAATGCTCTTTTGAAGAATTCAGTCATGGATTAAATGTAAGTGATTATATAATTATGTTTTTAAAATGATGACACTTTTTTTTATATGACACTTTTTAAAAATATGTTATAACGAAATTACATATTTTCGTTTCGTTATTTTGATTTAGGTCACATGATGTTTACTGTATAATTGATTTGATTTTTAATCCGTTTCTTTTTACATGAGTAATGAAAGTTCCTAATCTTTTTTTGATGTATGATTACAAAAATACTTTCATATTTCTTTCTGCTCCAAAGGATACGGAAATTTCGCTAACCAATTCAAAAGTGTTCCAATTTGCTTTTCACTTCTACAAAGTTCTCTTAAACTCATATTTAAAAAAATGAAGATAATTTAATAGAAGATTTTTTTAAGTTTAAGTAATTTGTAGGGATGGCAATCGAATACAGAATTGCTAATCGGTTAACCGCAAGACGTTACGACCGATTAACCGGTTAACCGTATCAAAATACGCATTTTCTTGATGTACATGGTAACTCTTTTTCCTATGTAGATTTATTGTATACACAAGAAGACTGATAAAGTCTACATATATAATAATTGTACTTGACTTTTTTTAAAAAGTAAGCTTATATATTTTATTTTAGTTTAAAAAAAATTTGGAAAAAATTAAGAAAAGCACAAATTATGTATGAGAATTAAATCATTAATATTTTTCCAGTTGTCACCAGTTGCGATGTCACCATTATTAATACTTAGTCTTAAATACATCACTGGCAGTTGCGTAGCATCGTTTGTGATGGGGGGGGGGGAGGGGGCAGCAAAAGAAGTTGAAAAGCAAAAAAAAAAAAAGGATAAAAATGCCCAAAAGTCTAAAATCCTATTTCGGGGGGATTCGGGGGGGGGGGGTTAAGTAAACTTTTACACAGTGCAAACTACTTTCAGTAACAATTCTAATACTACATTTTCGGTACATAACTAAAAGTGGGGGGAGGGGGGCAACCAGGTTTTCAAAAAACACTTCCTATAGTATAAGTAAGGTTGAGAAAAAAAGTGGGCTGCCAGCCCCCCGCCCCCCCCCCCCCCCCCCCCGACTTGATTTATTCGATAGATGACTGTAAAAAAAACAAACATACCAATTCTCAAGTGACAGTGACACACAATGGCTAATTACCCTATAATCTCAATCCGGAGAACGATAATAACATCCAAGTCAGCTTGGATATGTGTAAAGGCTGAATTATCAATGTTTGTCCAAAAATTTGTTTTAAAAAAATGAATTCCTATCAAAATTTGGTTCAAATTTACATAAATTTTATTTTTTTCCGACTAACCGAGTACAGATTTTCTAACCGATCGGGTCGTTCCGACCGAGTAATTGGTTTACCGGTTACAAATTGCCATCCCTAGTAATTTGTTATTTATATATCTTTAATGATCCCCCTTACCGTGACATTACGTTCATAGAATTTCCAATCTAAAAATATGAGAACTGGTTAGCTTACAGTGTAAGTCGCGTTTGAAACTAGCTGCAGCTCTCTGCTTGAGAAAATTAGGACAGATAAAGCAGAGAGCTACAGATCCAAGCGTTGTAAAAACCTTCGATTTACGCAGACGATTTTTTGTCGCTTACTATGGGTACTTTTTCGGGTATTTTATACGTTTTCCAGCTTTGAATTTTTTATGCGCCCGGATCGATAGATCCAGGGCGTATATTGTTTTTGTCCTGTCTGTTTGTCTGTTTATCTGTCTGTTCTCAACTATTACCTTCACCATAACGTACGAACCATATGAGATACAGACTTCATATTTGGTATGCATACTGCACTAATTAAGTTCTCTGAAATGGCATCAACGTCAATGACCTTGTGACCTTGATATATACATTTTGTATGCTAAAGATAGCTATTTTCGACTTTTTGCCATAACTTTTTAACCATAGGAGATAGTGACTTCATATTTAATATGCATACTTCACTAATAAAGTTCTTCCAAATGACACCAAACTCTTGTGACCTTGTCCGTGACCGAGATGTTAAACATAGCTTTTCCGAATTTGATAGCCACCGGGTGCATATTGTTTCACAAACACTTCTTGTTTTAAATGGTATTTAATAATTAATCATACATCCAACTTTAATTCCCATATCAGTGAAATATTTAAGAGAGGGACTTTAAACAGTAGAATCAATTCCCGATCATTTACCTACCTCTCAACGCTAACAAATGGCTGTTTGTGGTTACGGACGTCGAAATGGAACTCTTTTAAACGGACATTACAAAACTATATACAGGACTGTTCCCGGACCGTTAAATGATAAACAAAGTATCAAATATAAGACTTAAATATATGAATTAATGTAGGATACCATTCTAAAATCCAAAGAAAGCTTAGACTACAGGAAATAAATACCTAAAGTAGCGACAAGATCGTCGGCGTAAATCGAAGGTTTTAACAACGCTTGGATCTGTAGTTCTCCAATTTTTCCAAATTTGTCTCTCATATTTCCTATGTTTGAAAGTAAAAATAAAATAATTTGAAAATAGTTTTCAATTTTATTTTTTGCAAATTTAAGTAATCCGACTTTAGACCCCATATTAATATCTTTTTTCTTATCCTTCGTATATACTGCACAATATTATAGAAAACAATATGTGTTTGTGAACACTGATGCCCCCTTTTGGCACCAATGTTGAAGGTAGAATTTTTCAAATATGTCAAACTCCAAAGGTCAGGGTAAAAATGTTGGTACCAAAAGGAAGGTCTTGTTACAAGGAATACACCTGTGAAATAAGGAAGCCCTCTTTCTTATTGTTCAAAAGTTATCACCAAGTTAAAGTTTTTATAAAGTGGGTCAAACTTAGGTAAAGGTCAAAAATACTTATACCGCTTTAGGGTCTTGTCATAATGAATACACGTGAGAGATGAAAGCCCTAGCTCAAACTGCTTAAAGTAATGGTCAAGGTTAAAATGTGGGGTTTTCTTGTAAAAGTAGGTCAAAATCCAAGGTCAAAGGAGAGAGACTAAATTTGGTGGTACCCATTGAAAGGTATTGTCACAAGACATACGCCTATGAAAATATGGAAGCCACAGCTAAACTCACTCAATAGTTCTGGGCTGAGTTAAACCTTGTCAACAGACAGAGACAAACAAACCGGGCAAAAATAATATACCCCCGGGATCTTCCGATCTTGGGGCATAACTTAAATACAATGTATAGTTTACGTTTATATTAATGTACTAATGTTAGTTTGATTTATTTGAAGGTTGGCGAAAAATCACAGAAAACAACTTGTGTAAAATGGCAGAAAACAAGTTTGAGCAGGTAAACTAGTCATCATAACCTTTATCCTTTATATTATATTGTCATTGAGAATATTTTTATAACACTTTTCCCATGCCATATTCTTCATTTCAATGGAATGCCACTCCCTGACTTGTGCAGAGATTAACAAATCAAACACACCAGTGAAATTACACTGGTTCTGTTAATACGGCACGAAATCAGTGTGATAATTAATGTTCTCGTTTTACCAGTTTGTGCCCCATTTTTAAAATCTTCATACATTATAAAGCACGGACTGCCAATACCAATGAGTTGGTTTTGCTTTTTCACATTTCTACTCTGAATGTTTCATTGAGATGCATGAAATTCAGAGTTTCAATAATTTTAAGATAAAATAAGTTTTCTGTATGATATTTCTGACTAATACGACGTGTTTTTTGAAGACTACTCACTTGAATTCCATTGGAGATATTGAAGAGCATACATGCAGAAAAGCAAAACGGACGAATACTTCGAGGATTTGTGTGATTTCACCTGTCATCTTCTTCGTCCTTGTTTTAGTCATCGCCTGTACAACGATGACTGTGTTATATCTACAGGAAAGAAATAAAAGTAGAGATGAAAATGACAGTAAATATCTTTATCTAAATTCCTTTTTTGATGCATTGAAAGTTCTTTGCATATTAATATAAATTACACCGTTTTTCAAAATCAATTGTTGCACTCTACATAAAGAATTACTCGAACAAACACTGGAATCTGGTTGGGTTTTTTTCTTTTTACAAACGCCAATCTTTTTAAGAATTAGATCATTCAATTACAGATGCCATCAAGATCGGTCCTAATGCAGAAACTCATGGGCAGAACCAGAAAACTGCGGTTTGCCCGAATGATCCCATTAAAGGAATGAATTACACTACTGCGGGAAAAACAGGTACCTGATACTTCTAGGAATTGTTTGAATTTATTTGAATTTCTTCAAAAGCCTCTTATACCCCGGGATCGAAAGATCATGTGGGTTCCAGGGGCTTATTGTTTTCGTCCCATCTGTCTGTCTTTTGTCAACTTTAACTTTAACGAATATCATAATGGTTTAAATTTATTTTGATTTCTTCAAAAGCCTCTTAAGCCCCGGGATTGACAGATCCCAGACCTGCCTACCCTTTTCATTGCAATGGTGTAATTTCAGTAAATATTTGATGGGATTTCAGAGGTAAAAGCCATGAAAGCGTGATCAATTTCCTATGCTGTTGTTTTACTACAATACTTTTTCTTTCAAAACAACCGAAATTGTACATTTATACTAAACAAATCTGACAAAACTTTTCTTTTTCGAACCATCTATTGGTAAACATTTGTTGTAAAATACCAGTTTCCTGTATCAAACTCATTTCAACCGTACACCCTTAATGAAACATTTGGTCAGTTTGTATTAAATCACTTAATAGAGGGGCTTGCGTTTGAATGTTTTCACAAATCTTACATAACACTAAATTTATCATTTTAACACTCACATTTCTCCATCTTGTTCTAAGCAATGTTAAAACAAGTTAAATTGATGCAAACAATCAAATCGGCCGCAAACAAAATTTAGCATTTCAAACAGTACTTTAATAATTTTAAAAGCACCCATGCAAATAAAGCACGAGCTATTCAAAGCTGAAATAGTGATCATTTCTTCTAAGTGTAAAATAAATAATATTTTAAAGATTAAAAATTGAAATTTTAGTGCATTTGCTTATCAAATGGACTCATCGATGTAATAAAGTCAATGATAAATGCAAAGAATTTATTGTTATCAACAAGAAGATGTAGGGATCTCAAAATGAACCATGCACGTGCTGATACCATGAATCTTTGTAACGTGATAATACTCATGTTTTTTTTGCAGAGTAGACTATGCTGCAAGGCGCCGTTCAAAATGTAGGGGAAAATTATCTTTGTGTCATTCGCAGCTGTAGCGTATTAAAAAAAAATATTTTACTAGTTGAACAACTTTTCAATATTTAAATTTTATCAACCATGCCCTTTTACCACGTCATTATTATCCGGGAAATCTTGACGATTTCCTTTCATATATTTACATACTCCCAAGCCGGGGAGCATCTATTGTAACTCTTTTCATATACCGGTACCTTAAATTATCAATTATCTGAAAAGAAATTATAATGAAATTGAAACATAAGAACAATTAATAATAAGTTTTAAGCAGGTTTTAAAACAAGAGGCCCACGGGCCTTATAGGTCACCTGAGTATCAATGTAACAACTATCCAGGAATTGAATTTGGTTCATGTTTTAATCCAAAAGCCATGATTTCACAAATTTTGAAGGAGGCACCATTGCTTATCAAAGGGCAGATTTCAAAGCATTAATTTATTTTTAGTCAAAGTACCCCCCTGGTACCCCTGACCCAGCAGCCCTGAAATTATCTATTTTGAAAGAGACCCCTTTCTTCATTATAAGGCCAGCATTTTTTTTTATGTTTAGGTTTAGTTATGAACATGAGAATAAAAAAGTCCTGAAGGAGAAAGAAATAAAAAAAATTGATAAATCAATTATTAACATTTGTACATTCTTTTTTATGCTATTCTAATAGGCCCCTTACCACTGGACACATAATGCTTACAAATAGGAAAGTAGAACATTTAATTGTTTATTTCATCATCTGCCAGTTTGGGCCACTTATATAAATTTTGTGATGTTGGTCAAAATATATTTTAAAAAAATCAATTCTTTAAGAGTCTTTCAATATATCTTCATTTTTTTAAATATGTGTTAGTTGAATGTGTAGACATTGTTCTAAAATTTACTTGATGCCTAAAATTATAATTCCTATCATAAAACAGACAGGAAGTATTGGGGAGTAGGGTGAACATTTTTTCAATTAAGTGTAAAATAATTTTTCTGGCTGATACAAATGATACTACATGCCTGTATATATTTGTATATTCTTGCCTTTTAATAGTTGATTTTTTTTTTATCTCTTCAGGTTATTGTTTATTTCTTCCTTAAATGGGCTTAACTTCTCCCATAGTTTTATTCATTACATCTGATGCATAAGCAACCCTTTTCTGAAGAATGATGCTTAGACTGTAAGCTATAACAGAGACCTAAACAATGTCGCTGGCAATATGCAATAGCTACCACGGGCAGTTTAAAACCTGGGGGAGGAAAATAATTTACAGATACTTTTGAAACGAATACATAATTATCTCACCAGCATGTCATTGTGCAACAAAGTCGTCAGCATTTTATTTGTCCTTTGAACGGTTGAAACGTTTTGAATGGCACTCGTATCGATGAATTTTACACTAAACACTTCTCAGATCTAGCTTTATTTACCCGCCGTTTCATCTTAAAACCGGAAGTGCGAGTTCGTAAATTTCAAATCTCGATCCCGACTCAAATTTGACATCGGAAAGAAAAAAAATGTTTTATTTTTTTCTGAAAATTCAATACCTTGAGTGGACGGTTTGTAAAACTGAAAATAAAATAAATCCTGGCCTTAAATATGTAATTAGATTATTAGTATATTAACCAGGAGCAAAGGATAAGATATTCAAAGAATTCATGCATTTCACTATATAATCATTAGAGCCCCACCCTAAAACAAGAACCCCTGACCCTGGGGCCATAAAATTCACAATTTTGGTAGAGGCACTCTTGCTCATCATAACTATGTACTTAGTTAGTTTATTTAATACCCAGGAGCAGAGAAGAAGATTTTCAAAGAAATAATGCATTTTCACTACCTACCTATTTAGCCCCGCCCTAGCACTAGAACCCCTGACCCCAGGGTCATGAATTTCACAATTTGGTAGAGGACTCATTGCTGGTTACAATTATGCAAACAGTTTGACTGCTTGATGTCCAGGAGTAAAGAAGAAGGTTTTTAAAGATTGCATTAATTTTAGTGGTTTTTGCCCCACCCCTCAGACCCCAGGGGGGCAGGGATCATGAAATTCACACTTTTTTTTCCTCTTCACCCATAGATGCTATGTGCCAAATTTGGTTGAAATTGGTTCAGTGGTTGCAGAGAAGAAGCTGAAAATGTTCAAATGTTAACGCACGACAGACGACGGACGACAACAGATAGCAATAGGTCACCTGAGTTTACTCAGGTGACCTAAAAATATTTTACTCATGATTTTATTCGTTATCATTTAAGGAAAAATAACGTATCATTTTCCCATGTGCACTTTCTAACACAACCACAAATAGATCGGCTGAGGCCGATAATAAACTAAGTTGGGGAAAGAAATGACTGTAATTATTGCAATATCATTTAATAGTTAACGTAAGTAGTGCCTCCTCGTGTTCTTCCGAATCTTCTCCATACTAGCTATAGTTTACATGTAATAACTAGGCACCGTAAGTAGAATTTTTAGCGCTACTGGTCAGAGACAAGAAGAGCTTATGCGATAGTAATGCGTTCGGCGTCCGTCTGTCTGTCTGTAAACAATTTTTCAAAATGTTACTCCTCCTTCAGTTTTGGTCTGATTTCAAAATAACTTGGCATGAAAGTAGAATACACTAAGATAAATAATTCTGTGTATCGGTTTTTGATTTGGATGAACGGTGTTGCCGTGGTTACTAAAAAAATGAAATTTCTGTGAAATTCCTTCAAAATGCTACCTCTCCTACAGTTTTGGTCTGATTTCAAAAGAACTTGGCACACAAGTAGACTACACTAAGATGCACGACTCTGCATATCGGTTTTTGACTTCGATGAACATTATTGCCGTGGTATCATAAAATAGAAATTTCTGTTAAATACTCTTTACTCTCAAAATGCCTGTAAGTCGGTATTTTTGGGAGTTAAATTTTAGTCCAAAAGTCTATATCTGACTTATAGGCGAGTCATAAAAGACAGATATTTTTCTGGATGGCGAATCGTAGTATTACAAAAACATTTTGAACAGCTATTGTTGAAATAAGTAAGGATGTATTGTATCATTTATGTATTATAAGATAATACATATTAAATAACATGTTATTTATATACATGTATTTAATTATTTTATATTTTAATCTTAAGAGTGCCTTATTTATTTTTTTATATTAAAACTTAAATATTGGCTTCATTTCCAAAAATATTCTTTGAAAACAGGGTAAAACATCAATGCATTTATTAGAAATAGTCATCTGATTCTGGCAAAGAGTTGTACCGACTTGTAAGCGGGTCAATGGCAAATCCTTGCCAAATAACCTAAAAAAATACAACCGAGTTATAGGCGGACCGACTTATAGCCGAGTATATACATGTACGGTAATCAAATCCAGTTTTAGTCTGATTATAATATAATGTGGCATGCAAGTAGATTACACTAAGAACATAAAGAGACTTAATCAAGGATCATTAATCTATTTATTGCTGTTTTGAAGTTTCAATACCCAACTGCTTTTCTCTTCCTTTGCTATAAGTACAAACCAGTAGAGCTTCAGGCTCGACCGAGACTTCTGGTTCAGCGAGGATTTAATTTTGACATTATTAGCAAGGGTTCTGAGATCGCTAAAATTAAATATCGTTAAAAATTAATAATTTCTTTTTATTTGTAATAGTTTTTAATGTGCATTTTAGAATCGCTAAAATAACATCTCGCTAAAATAACCAGTTTTAAGGATAAATCGCTAAATTTTCGTCTCGCTAAAATTTCCACTTCTACGGTTTATTTTGTATGTTATCGAAATGGTCCTATATTAATTACTTTTATTAGAACTTCTCATTTCATTTCAGAAAGGTCGTACTTTAACTCTAAATTAAGACCTTCATAATGGATTTTAAACCAAAATATCAAAAACGTAAAATTAATATTAAGTGGCGTAATAGGGTAATTTTGTGGAAAAAAAGCGCCGAAATTGGAAGGGTAGTCAGGACTGAGATCTAGGGGATTCCGATGGTGTATTGTTTTTGGTTTCAACTTTAACCAGGCCCATAACTTTGCGCTGTCAAGGTTAAGTATATACAACTTCAGTCTACGTCCCACTCCAGAATTGTGTTACCATCGGGGGCATAGTGTTTCACAAACACATCTTGTTAAAAGTATGTTGACGTATTTAACATTTTTATCATTTCACAGGAATTCAAGGACGCCAGTTTTTGATCTGTTTTACAGACAATCATGAGGAAGCAGTTAACCAACCTAAGACCATATATATTTTATCGGATGAAGATTTTGAGTTAAAATTAATTTCGAAGTTTTCTACACAGCTGATCAAAGACGTTGTTACACCAACAAGAAATCTGATAGAAATTAACGTTATAAGTGCGGTAGCACTTTCAGATTTCAAAATCGAAGAAAAAGCACTGTTGATCGAGACAACTAAGGATGTGTCCGTTATCATCATTGACAATTTTATCACATCTTCTGATAGCACTGGAATTTTGCCAATAAAATCAACATCAAATTCGTATGTCATTTCCACACCCAGAGCGTTTAACAAAACACTAGGTCCACAATTTGCAATTGCCTCTCCAAGGAACGGTACTATAATCAAAATTCACTTTCATTTTGATCCCGATTTGCCTACGACAATAGATGGAATAACGTACCAAAATGGCAGCATAATGCTTCTCGTTTTAAATGAGCTTGAAACATATGAAATATACCACATCGTCGATTTATCAGGTACCTTTATTGATTCAACATCTCCTGTAGCAGTATTTTCAGGAAGTTTCTGCCATAAAGTACCTTTTGAAAACAGCACTGATTTTGGATATTGCAGTAAGCTTGATGAACAACTTCCACCAATTGACAGACTGGATAAAATGTATATTGTACCACCTAGTTTTAAAAAGATGGGTACAGTCCTCAAAATTGTGTCTCCTTTCCAAACCCGCCTTACATATAAGATTGGAAATAAACAAACGGAGAAAATACTTCAACCGAGAGGTTTTTTTGAAATAACATTTTCGGATAAAGATATTGTTGTCATAGATTCAGAGAAGGCGGTTTTGGTAACCACATTTGCCACTGGGTCTAACGACACGGATGGCCCTTATATGATAACTGTACCGGGATTTCGTCAGTATACAGATAAATATCTCGTGATGGTTCCTGAAAACTTCAAAGAAAATTACGTCACTATAATAATTGAGGAAAAATCACTTTACAACTTGATCTTAAACGAAACGAAAATCATCCATTACTTGAATGACAGAAAATTCTATACAACCGTGCCATTTAGGAAAATGAACTTTGTCGTGCTTGTTTTACAAGTAAACGGCGGTCTTTTAAGAGTTGAATCTACAGACACAGCGGCGTTCGGGTTAATCGTGTATGGTCATAGAAAGCACGATGGACATGGATTTGCAGGAAAAGCAGTTTTGCCTGACGTGTGTGTTCCCTCTCATCAATAATTCAATTTGTCTCCCCTCCGACATTTTTCTATCGACTGAAATGAGTATATATTGATGTGTACACTCCTTTTTTATTTTGTTTTTAATTCATTAAACATTGGACTTTTACGAGAAGCACTGACTTATACAGTTTACTTTGACATTTAAACATTCACATCTACGGATGTACAGAATTTATATTGAAAAGAAAACCTTTCTGGTGGTCATGGTAATTGGGTAATTGTGTTAGGGGCATTTGTATGTAAAGGTAGGGGGTTCAGGTATAAATTTTAGGTGAAATATTTTCAGTTAAATATATTCTAGCACAAACATGGAGACATTAAGAAATATAAAAAACTTTACTTGGTGAAAAAATTCCAAGTAGAACAGAAGTTATGAAATAATCAATGTTGTGAGTACTGCTATTTTATGTAAGGAAAGAGGGTGTTGCAGAAACCCGTGATTATTCCCTATATCGAGAAGGACATTTAAATACCCACCACGCTTGAAGAGTTATGTCTAAATATAGATTCAGTTACGTAGTTGACTCTATTTACAAGACAGGTATGTCCTTATTTAGGCAAAAGAAATAACATTTTATGTTTATTTTCTATTAATAATTTTTATCGAACATTTCAACCACCCGACAAGCATTAAGTATACACTTTCAACTCATCAATACTGTAAAGTTGTCAAGGCATCTTTTTCAAAAGTGAAATAACTAGTAACTAGTGTATATCAAAATTCGTTTAATTTGTATCATACTTCATTGTTGCATTAACTACCATGACATGCGCCACTACTGAACAATATTAATAACTGACAAAAGTATATTGTATGTTTATGATTTGAATAACCATCACAATATTTTGCTTTGAATTGCAAGTAACCTCATGTATATGGCACATATCGTTATGCCTTTTTGCTTTCTGCAGCATCCATTAACAATGGTGATATTTTGTCCTCTTTTGGTTTATAGTTGATATGCCTCGCATATGCTAAAAACCAAATGACAGAGGCCACGTGGGAGCACGTTCCAACAGTTCTAGCACCTATTGGACACTGACAATACCATCCCGTGATACTCGTCCCGTCGTGCTCTACCCAGATATCATACTGTTTGGCGGAAGTGTGCCGAGACTGAATGCGAGCATGGATAAGATCTGACATAGATTGTCGCAAATATATTTCCGAAGTGGTACCAAGCATGTACTCATCTACATAGGATGACGCCTGACGGACCTGGTAAATTCCAAACGTCAGCGCCCTGATTTCATCTTCTGTCATCCTCGGGAAGTCATTTATACAATCATGAGAGTTTTGAAGAGGAAACCATGATTTGAACCTATTTAGCAATGAACTGTCAGTTAAAATTCGTTTCTGTTGAAGGTTATCTTGACTAGCTAACTTTAACATTTTTTGAGCAATTTCGCAGTCGGCGTTTGTATTGTTGTGAAAAGAGGGGCGATAGCAATTACACAATGCAGCAACAATATGCAAGTAATCTTTGATATTGTGAATATCGGAGTTTGGAACTACTTTATCAAAGTATTTCCAAGTTTTGATTCTGCCGTTTACGCATTCAACTGCCCAGCGTATTTTTGTAACAAGTCTGGAGTGGTCGGCCTCTGTTGTAGAAAACTGTTTAGAAGATTTTGGAAGAAAAGAGGGGGATTCGGTATGAAACCCCCCTTCTTCCAATAGATCAAGAACATCTCGGAAACCACGATCTAGGATGAAAATGTCTCCTTCTTTGAGCCAAGAACTCATGCCATCAGAGTTGGATTCTAGCATATTTCGCATGATAGCCGCATCATTATTTTTACCATCAGCGAAAAATGGTCCGACAATTGACATTATGTAGCCTGTCGTGGTAACCACCACCATTGGCTTAACCAGTGGGCGATGTTTATGCATACTATAGCATTTTCTTTGAACTTTATTTTTTGTGCTTTTTTTGTACGTAAATATGTGTTCAGTCGAGTATCAGAATAGCTGAATCGGACAGGAAATTGCTAAACATAGACACAGCAAGATCAGAAGTGTGATTGTTAAGTACATCTTCTCTACTTATTGCACCAAATCCTAGGAAATGAGGTACAAAGTTTGATGCAAGCTCCAGCTTTGCTCTTTGAATCATTCTTGAAACTTGATATCGTTTTTTTGACCCACACAAGGTTCCTATTAATCTGCAATACACCAATGTACACAATTTTTATGCATCAATTTTGTATGTTATTCAGCTGTACAACGAAGATATTTGAATCATGAATTAATCAATGGTATTTGGTGAAAGGTAAATTTCTATGGAACTATTTATAAGTTGACTTATATTACTCTTGTTCAACCAGACACGCCCCGTGGGGATCCGGGTTAGAATAGGTCCTCAGTACCCTCTTGCTTGTCGTAAATGGGGCGGTCCTTCGGATGAGACCGTATAAACCGAGGCCCCGTGTCACAGCAGATGTGGCACGATAAAGATCCCTCCCTGCTGAAAGGCAGTAAGAGCATATAAATTTGCAGCCCTCACCGGCAATGGTGACGTCTCTATATCAGTGAAATATTCTGGAGAGGGACGTTAAACAGTATACAATCAATCAATCAACCAGACAATGGGTCATCTCCGACTCTGCTGGTCGGAGATTTACGGAGATAGCCGAGTGTCTGGTTGAACGATACTACACTTATATTGGAGTTACTTATACTGTAGCCTGGTCCCCTGGCTCATTTTAACCAAAGTTTAGTACAAAGCATTCCTGAGTTAATGAAAATCTAAGGTGTTAAAAGGAAGGACCAAGTCTCTTTCCAAGGGCATTTAATCAAGATAAGGTAATTTAAAATGAAAATCTTAATATGAGGAAAAACCAAAGGACCAGAAAAACTTATACATATGGTAGCGTCCTGACGTAGGTAGTATATATTCAAGCTATGACCCCTGAGAGATTGGTTAAAGCCACAATTACAGTATATGATAAGGGGGTAAATCTGGTAAAGAAAGCACAGGGGCACAGATATTCAGGTGAGTTTTGTGGCATTTGTTTTCCCTAAATACTTTGTTTTTAAAGGAATCGATTTGTTTTTCATCGCACCTACATTAAAGTAGATCTAAAAATTCTGAAACAATATATATCTGATTATGTATTAACTGAATATCTGTTGTTAGCCAAGTTCGAAGTACAATATTCACCTCGCCCTTCGAGCTCGGGGAATATTTTACTTATCAGGGATCTAAATAGTTATAATGATCTCAAAACAGCAATTATTGTATAATATGTGTAGGGGTGACATTTAAATGTAGGTATGTTAATGTACCTCAAAGAAAGGCCCGTTCGAAGCTTTAAAAGAAGCATGCCTATCATTTGTTTTGAACTTCCTAGGCGTTGTTTAGAGGTTTCAAAGGCTGTTTTTGATACAAGATCTGCAAACTGTGCTTTGTTTAGTCCAGTCAAATTGGAGAGATCCTCATCGGAAAATGACGAATCCTCATCAAAATCAAGTCTTTTGTTGACTGTATTTGACATAACATTGCGAATGTCCTTGAGAACACCAACAACATCAGCAGCCAATATTTCCTTTCTTTTAATTGATTCTGCATTAAGCTTTATCTGTGATTTCAGTTTTTTATTTTGCAAATGCGATTTGCAACAGTACACACCCAGTGGTATTAGGACGCCATAGTTCAAAAATATATCTACTCTAGTCTCAGCTGGCACAAGACAAAGACCTGTGTTTTTGTGTTTGCATATAAAACAATTTGATTTTGACTTGCCAGCGCGGGGAAAAGGTACTTTAATGAAATGTTCATGTTTACGATTCTTTAGACCTAGATCTGATTCTGAAGAAACATTGGATGTTGGTTCTGCTGATTGTATATATCTATAGTATTTTGACAAACACTTGGAACAGAGATATCCATCAGAATTTACATCTGCTGATTGCTGCTTTGTCCATTCATACTGTTTAACTGATATTTTTTCTTGTTTGGCCTTTGTTTTTAAATGACCTACATAGTTCGCATCGATTTTTTGAAAACGGCATGATTTACATATCATTTCTTCTATCTATCCCACTCACTTTCTTCAAGGAAGACTCCGTAACATTTAAAACCATTGTTTGGTGAGCCAGTAGGTTGAACAATAATGGAAACTCTATTCTTGCTTATGTTGTTGACATAACGCATGAAGTTTGAGATCACAGTAACGAGGAAAACATGTTTTTTTTAATTCAAAATTTTACAAATAAATCCCAATTTTTACTTTCATACCGTATTTTTTTAAATACATATAGTTCATTACATTTGCAATGAATTTGCTTTAAAAAAAAAAAAAGAAAATAATGCAGCTATATTGGGACTCGAACCCATTCTCAAGTTTAAAAAGATATTTCTAATCCACCTACACAACCACTTGACCAGTTAGAACACAATTATAACCGCGTAGATTTTAATGTTATACCTGAATTTTGGACATATCATTTTTTTATCGCTTTTTAAAGTTTTTTGAAAAAGTGCCTCTTTGAAACAAAAATCGGAAATAGCAGTTTTGAAGGAAATTTCCGAATCTATATGTTTATATTAAATTTATTCTGTTTCAAGGAGGCACTTTTTCAGAATGATGGGGATTCCCTACTGGAAAAGCACGAAATATGTCAATTTTGGCTATGTGACTCATTTATATTTTAATTTTTGAAATAATATAAATAAATATCAACTTTCCAAATATAATTCCACATTGTATAATATATATATTTGCATTTGAAAAAAAAAATTAACATAGATTTAAGTTTCTTTAAATTGTTCATATTATCTGCTACACTTTTAGGGAAAATAACAAAAGAACTGCAACACCCTCTTTCTATACATACGAGTATTAAATGATGGCACATAAAAGGAAGAAAAATCCGTTAAATCTAGGTATTTTTTAACGGATAGAGTCTAATTTTATCTAGAAGTAGGGCAAACTATATATTTTCGGAAAGGTCTATGCAAGTCCTAATTTTTTGTTTCCATGTCAGCTAAAAAATATCCAAGATGGCGGCAAAATATCCAATATGGCCGCCAATAGTAAAAATGACAGATACAGTCTTATTGAAAATATACTTTCAAAATCAGGTGAGTTAAGAATAAATAGAGGATATTCAATGTTTTGTAGTTGAATATGGAATTTATTTCACGAGTGGGACGGATTTTTGATATTTTCACGAGTGCGAAGCACGAGTGAAAATATCAAAAAATCCTGTCACACGAGTGAAATAAATTCCATATTCAACTACAAAACATTGAATTTTCTGTTTATTACATTTTTAAAATAAAAATTCTTTAATTTTTCCTTTGACTTTGTCTTTTTGTTATACAGTCATAGGCTCGTGACGTCATAGTTGAGCGGTTGAGACGTCATAGCTATATGAGGTGAAAACACTGTAAACATGGATTTAGCAACATATTTTTGGAAATTTTAACCATTTAATTCGCTGTCAGAGTGGTTTATATATTTTCATCTGTCTTATATTAGGTCAAGGAAGATTTTTTTTACAGAAATCTTCGTTATGGGAAGGGAAATCGAGAGTTTTCCCGCACTTCTGATATTCATCACACTGTGACAGGATATCATTTTGATATCCTTTCACAGTGTGACAGGATATCATTTTTATTCAATAAATAAATTACAGTATTTCACGGGTAAAAATGTAATAAATAATGAAATTTTATGAATTATTTTCAATTTATTACTTTAAAAAGATTTATTAAAATAAGGATCGTAATAAAATATGGTCACTAAAAGTTAGCAAAGAAGAAAGATGTCAATATTATGAAAATGGCAAAAAAAAAAAGGAAAAAAGAATTTACTACAATTAACTCACAACTTTATTTTTAAATTTACATAGATCTTTAAATACATATCAAATTTTCGGTTTCAATCAATAATTGTATATTTTATCCATGCTTCCTGGACAAGTTGTGTGTTAGATTTCTCTCAGACTTCTGCTACTACCGGCCACGGGCGGGTACCATAATCATGATATGGAATGATTCTATAGCATTTTCCTGAAGTCTAACTGTATATACTCACTGAAAAAAAAAATTAACCACAAAGTATCATGTGCACAAACAAAATTAAAAATGTTTTATAGTTATAAGTAAAACAATAAATATATATTTTCTTTTATCACATTTGAACTTCGGGTTATTCATTTATTATACAGGCAGTATTTCAGAATTCAGAGGAAATCCAGGCTGCAGAATCAAATTTGTACATTTATATCAGGGATCGTTAACTAGCATATATAGGCCCCTGTATATGTTATGTAGTAGGAAATGACCATAGTTTTCGAATTCATAGACTTTATTCCAATAAGTCTAAAATTATTTAATCTCACATTTTCTATTTCACTTGTGGTTTTACGATACAAAAGTGTGCATGAATTTAAAGGTACTTAGAAACTGTTCAAAAGTTGCGTCGGGTTGACGTCTTTTGAATGAAATCCGGGTGAATTATTTTCTGAAATTATTACAGAACCACAGTTTTCTGATAGGAAATTTTCTCAGCTTTCCAATAGTGTATGTTGCATAAAAATATTTTGATTACTTACCGTAGTAAAATTGACCTCTTTCCTTTGAAACGGAAATACATAAACTTCTGCACATTGCATCAAGATGCAACAATAACAATGTTAATCTTCAAAATGTAAGCTTTCCTGTGATATGTCAATGTCGTTAATTCCTTTAAAATCGCCTCCCGGAAAGCCAATCAAAATGACGCTATCAACGTCGCGGAGACAAAATTACAGTGCCATATGCATCAAAAGGGAAACCCCGCATCCAATTTTAGCACAACTTCGACCCGGTTAATTTTCAACACAGACTTATTAGAATGATATAACACACACATCATACGAAAGTTCAAACAAAGAAGAAAAAAATCGTTGTATTTAATTTCTACATAAATATGAATAATAATGCAAAAAAGACATTTATAAACACCGATAAATTGTGTGTAAATAGCACAATTACACAGGTAACTCGGGTTACCTGAACCCCCTAGTAAAGGCTTGGATTTGAGGATACGCAGTACAGTTAAGGCAACATTTTCTATAAAAAGCCACCGAAAATGATACACTTAATGTGTAATTGTTTTATTTTTCGGCAAGACATTCTAGCTAAAATAGCTTTACGTTATCTTGAAGAGTATGTCCATCACTTTTCACATCGGTATTTTTTTTTTGTCATCATGTGACCCTCTTAAGTCACGTGGGCTCCGATTTTAGGTCAACAAATGAAATGTCAAATTTAACCAAAAAGTTCAAGGGCAAGGCAAACAAAAAAATAACTGCACAGCATTTTAAATTGTGCCTATGTATCTATACTTTTGCAAAAACAATGCTCATTCAGTTAGTTTTCCGATATATTTAAGTTATTCAGCTAAAACAGACAGTAGTATATGAAAAATAGGGTATTTTACTAATTCCATAGATAATTATAAATTACCTGAAGGATTACAAAGAAATGAGCAACACTTTTTGAAAACTATATAGTAAAACGAATAATTTAAAATATAAACCTACTTTTTCCATTGTCGCCTTGACCTTGAACTTTTTGATTAAAAATTGACATCTTGGTGCAGTCAATCTAAATATAGTTTTCAAACGCCTCTTTGACCCAGCATGGGAGATAACTCTTTAGTACTTGATATAGTTTGTTTACCTCGTAGATTTTAAATAAATATACTTGCGGACTGCGCTGGGATTTTTTACTTAATCAAACGGTATGCACAAAACATCCTGAACATTTGTTCCTTCTATTTTGTGACTTAGTTCTCTATTCAATGTATGAATGATGTTTGCTAAAAGACGTCTTTCAGACCTTCCGCATTTCCTTAAAATGTGTCAATACACAATGTCATGCAGCTACATGAAGGCGTACAATATGCTGCAGCATGTAATCTAAAACGCCGATTGTTGATAAAATTGGAAGTATTCAATTATAATTTTAAATAATCAATTGATAGGCTCCATCAATGCAATAATTAATTCGGTAACTATAAAACTCTGTCTCATACACATACACTTGTGTACAAATAAGAAAACGTTCTGCCTTTTGCTTTGATTTGTTTTATTTTTGCATACGATATTCTATCATGGCTTTCATTCAAACCTTCAACTCCTAAGGAATTTAAGTTGTACGTTTTAAGAACTAAGTAGAAAGCTTAAATATTCCTGTATTTGTTAAGAAGACTATCATTTCATTCCAAAAGAGGCTATATGGCGGGGGGGGGGGGAGGGAGTTCTTTAAAAATGTTGAAAATACATATGTCCCGGACTGGATAAGAAATAAAGAAGTGCTCACCTCCTATAAATTAGAGGGTTTTTTTTGCTTGCCAGATATTTTTTCAGTGAAAAGGAAATTAAATAGATAGTGTGTCGTTCATTTAATTGGAAATCAATATGAGTCTACCCTTCATTGACATGGAATTTTAAAAAAAATGACTTGGGAAAACTTGCCAACCAACCCTCCTTTCAGAATAAAATGGTGGTCCCCTTTGTAAACCTGTTTTGAATCAATAATCTCCTTTACAGTTTCTATTATTGAAAAATTAACACAATGTACATGCTGGAAATAATATCTTGATGGAGATTGACACCCACCACACAAAATATATGCAAGTTAAGATTTCCAAATCTTAATAGCCTTTTCAATACCTATACAGTAAGTACATGTATATGAAAAAGTCAAAGCATTATTCATTGATCAAGAACATTTATTTTATAAACAGCTTTTCAAATTCATAGGTAGACTGTATAAGGAATACTAAGCAGGTGCAAATTATTTCCATCACTTCATGTTCTTGTGGATGAATCAATTCTGAAAATACATGTATGAGAAAATTAGGATATACATGTAAACATTCCATTATTGAGAGTAAATTGGTGTTTAGAATTAAATTAAATTCAAAACAATGTATTGAAACATGGAGCATTGAATGCATAAATAATTGAAATATAAATTAAATGCGATTCCGCTTTTATATTTTATGATTTTACCATTTACCTTAAATGATGGATTAACCTGCTGCCTGAATGAATCCATAGGTCCAATTCTTTGGGAATAGCTGCAACACATCATATATGCTATGAGATTACTAAATGAAAAACATTGTGGAATAAAGTGACATTACATTTGACAATAAAAAAAATCATGATATACATGTAACTATATTGGAGATAAATAGAAACAAAGTTGTGTTACAAAACTTTTCTGAGAAATTAAAACCACTGATATTTACAAAAACAAGTAATTGGTATATGAAAAAAAACATTCTATCATCTTTCCCAAAATGAAAAATAAATATAATCACACATGCATGCCTTAAAAAGTGAAATGCTTTAGAAGTATACATACCCTGTGGAGAACTGGAAGGAATTTTCATTTGTTTATCCTCAACCCTGGAACTCTTGACAGCTTCAATAATAAAAGTTTTATATATCATATATATATATATATATATATATATATATATATATATATATATATATATATATATATATATATATATATATATATATATATATATCTAAAATAAATAAATGTACATGTATGAATTACAGAATTTTAATTGACTTGACATGTAATCAAACTAAAAAAATATTTTATTTCCCCAATTAATTTAGAAATTCTATAACTTTACAACCATAGATGATAGATCTTAACTGTAGATTCTATGTTTTTAACATAATGATGAAAATTTGGTGGCATGTTTGAAAAATCCTATCAAGAACCAGTGTGCCAGCTAGGATATATGAAAGATATGGGGAAACATCCTCAGGTAGTGTACAATTTTTTATAATTATAAATTATGTAGCATGTTTGTATACTGTCAGAAAGACAACAACATAACATGTTTAATAAATCATTATCAACTCATAGACTAAAACAATGAAATTTCAAATTTAATTTAGTGTAAATTTGTATTACTGTTGTCATAGTTGATCCCCACTACTACACATAATGTCTCAAAGAAAATGAAAGAATTGTCAGGAACTCTGTACCACATATTTACAGTACAATAACATTAAAAAATTCTATTAATACAAAAAGTGTGCAACTTTGTATGGGTATGTTGGGATTGGGGGAAGCATACAGTACACACCAATCACAATGCACAGGGGGGGGGGGGGTATAATATACATACAATCGCAGTACACTGCTTTAGTTTTTCACTGACTGCGATAACACATCTAAATGAACATGTACACACGCTATCGTTTTTTTCTATGGTGTTAAGTGCATACACAGTGATACATACCTGGGCTAAATGTATCGACGATACTGCAGTGATGGATCTAAGGAGCTGATTCTGATCGTCTCTGTTTCCATGATCTTTCGAAATAATGTCCTCATATTCTCGTAATAGGTATAAACAATGACTTGTCTCTTATCTTATCCCTATTTTCTTTAATGATTCTCCGGTTATTGCATTAAAATCCACTGCATATCCCAGCTGATGTCGCCACGTTTGTAGATGTAAACAAACACTCCGTGTCATCGAGTGCAAGCGTTTGGCTGAAGCCGAATGCAGCCAAGCGGCACATAAAAAGTGAATTATTTTTAAAGATATGCTATTCTATGTAAGGGGAAATCACTAATAATTATTTATTTCCACATGAATATATTGACGTTTGCTACAAATTCTTGCATATATCGGTAAATAATTATTTTGAGCTCTATTTCCTTATAAGGATTAATCAGGGCGGAGCAACTGTCATGACGTCAGGCCTCATTATTACCTCATTACCATATTTTTTTCATGTGTTGCCTTTTAAACTGTACTGCGTAAGATGGTTGTCGTTTTCTTTAAGGAAAACTTATCTGTGCTTTGAAATAGCCCGTTATGGAATTAAATGTTGAGCTAAATTATTATTTAGTAAAAGAGATTCCATACACTGTCCTAGTGTGAGAGTAATTCGTCAATCGTAAAAGTCGGCGCTTCTCGTAAAAATCCAGTGGGAGCTAGCAGCATATAATTTTTTTTTTTTGTGGATGCATTCATTTTAATCGAAATGTACAATGGGTATATATGTACAGAGTTAAAATTAATATGTTAAGTAATATATCATATCAGTTAAGATATGTCATTTTACTCCAGAACTGAAAAAAATGCTGGTTTTATCATAATTCTAACAAAGGCATGAGAAATTAAAAATTAAGTTTTGTTTATTGAAATATCAGTATAATGCCTTGGCCGGTCACATATAAACTGAAGTTCGGGCGCCCAAATTTTCTCGCATTGTCTGCTGAAAAATATGAGCTGTCGACAGAAGGATCGGGCGCATACAGCAGTCTCTGTCACATTAATTCCCAAAAACACCGATAATAAAAAAAACGAATTAATTCTAAGTTTGCAAATTGTCAAACAGTCGACTGTCGCCCGGAGCATCCTAGGTTTGCATAAAAAAAAACAGCGGTCGATGGTCGTTTATACCTCACCTGAGCCGAAGGCTCAATTGAGCTTTTCTGATCAAAATTTGTCCGTTGTCTGTCGTCGTCTTCGTCGTTAACTTTCATTTTCGACTTTTTCTCAAAAATCACTGGGCCAATTTCAACCAAACTTGGCACAAAATATCCTTAGGTGATGGGAATTCAAGTTTGTTCATATGAAGGGCCACGACCTTTTCAAGGGGAGATAATTAAGAAATAATGAAAATTTGATGATATGTTTTAAAAATCTTCTCAAGAACCGCTGTGCCAGGAAAGATGAAACTTATAGGGAAGCATCCTCAGGTAGTGTAGATTCAAATTTTGTTCAAATTATGACCCACGGGGGTAGGTCGGGGCCACAATGGCCGATCAAAGTTTTACACAGAAATATATAGGAAAATTCTTTAAAATTCTTCTCAAGAACTACTGTGCCAGGAAAGATTTCAGTGTCCTGCAGTGGATTGGAAGCCGCGAAGTAAGGAGCAGGTTCGTTTTACTAAAGAACTTGAGACCAAATTTAATTTGCATATATTTTATTAAATAAAACTAAATTAAATTTGATTCTTATCTTTTTAAAACGAGTACAATTTTTTGTACGGTATAATGCAGATGTCCAACCTATTTAAACAACATTATACATTTATTGACTGAGTTCGAGGGCAACATGCGTTTTGTGGGACCCAAGAACCAAACGGTCTGCCTGAGACCGTTAGGCCGAAGGCAGACAGTTTGGTTCGAGGGTCCCACAAAACGCGTTTTGCCCGAGAACTCTGTCAATAAATGTTTTGTTATACCTTTCATTTTATTACATATTTTTTGACATACATGTATTTTGTAATTTATTCAGTAATGTAACATCAGGTCTGTCACTGTTTAACATCAACGAATGAAAATGAGATTAAGCTCCGCCCATTCTGTGACGTAAGCGGTCCAACATCTCACTCAGCGGTCCAACATCGATTTTTTTATGCCCGCTCAGCAAAACATTAAAAATGTCAGACTTTTTTTCGTATAGATTTGTATAGGAACAATTTTTTAAAGGTATAACAAATAAATGTATTTTATATACAGAGCAAAAAGATCACAAAAAGTTAATGATTTTCCAATAATTGTTATGTCCATGATATATATTGACATCTTCATGAGTGGAAAATTCTTCAGAGGGACTTTAAACAAAATACAAACAAACATATATATCGTGTACCGCTTAAAATCTGGATTTCCTGATATTTAGAATCACAGTAAATAATTAAAGGGGCTTAAAGTACGCCTTTGTCTTTAAAATCCCAGCAAAAAAGGACATAGATTACACCTCGTGTATAACTTTAGGTAGACAGATTTTCTTTTCATTTCATATAAGTATTATACTTTTCCCGAACCCTTCAAGTTTGGCTGGGTGCAAGGCTAGCTCCAAAGCGATTGAGGCAGTTAGGCCTTTTCCCTAAGGACATATCTGTTGATCGACTTATCTGTCTATTGCTTATTGCTGAACTTTCCATTCAATAGCACGGCTTTGAATTTTTTACTGGGCAATGAATTATTTTTTTTTGCATCCAAAACAAAACCCTGAAAGGGTGAAAACTACAGACAAACTATACACAAATGTTAAAATCCCTATAAAAATCATATCAGATACATGCATGAGGAGGAGTCATTTAAATTAATAAACAAACAATAAAAATAGCTCATTCCTAGCATGTTAAACAGATGCATCAATGATGCAATAATAATCAACTTGTTGCAATCTAGAATAAACAATTGACACAAAGACAGACAATAAAACTTATGTTCCTCGACTTAATGTGCATTGTACAGCTAAAAAACTTTATACTGTATAATATACTGTATTTGGAGTAGCATTTTGAAAGAATTTTACAGAAATTTCTATTTTTAGTAACCATGACAACACCGTTCATCGAAATCCGATATATAGAATTATGTATCTTAGTGTAGTTTACTTGTGTGCCAAGTTATATTGAATTCAGACCAAAACTGTAGGAGATGTAGCATTTTTGAAAGAATTTCACAGGTTTCTATTTTTAGTAACCACGGAAACACCATTCATCGAAATCAAAAACCAATACACAGAATTATTAACCTTAGTGTAGTCTATTTGTGTGCCAATTTATACTGAAATCCGCCTAAAACTGTAGGAGGAGTAGTATTTTGAAAGAACTTAACAGAAATTTGTATTTTTAGTTACCACGGAAACATACACTGTGGTTCAACGAAATCCAAAACCGATAAAAAGAACTATGTACCTTAGTGTAGTCTTCTTGTGGCCCAAGTTATATTGAAATGGGATCGAAACTGTAGGAGGAGTAGCATTTTGAAAGAATTTAACTGAAATTTTTAGGTCACCTGAGTAAACTCAAGTGACCTATTGCTATCCGTTTTCGTCCGTCGTGCGTCGTCCGTCGTGTGTTAACATTTGAACATTTTCAGCTTTTTCTCTGCAACCACTGAACCAATTTCAACCAAATTTTGCACAAAGCATCTATGGGTTAATGGGAACAAAAATTGTGAATTTCATGATCCCTGCCCCCCTGGGGCCTGAGGGGTGGGGCCAAAACCACTAAAATTAATGCAATCTTTAAAAATCTTCTTCTTTACTCCTGGGCATCAAGCAGTCAAACTGTTTGCATGATTGTATTCAGCATTGAGTCTTTTACCAAAATTGTGAAATTCATGGCCCTGGGGTCAGGGGTTCTAGTGCTAGGGCGGGGCTAAATAAGTATATAGTGAAAATGCATTATTTCTTTGAAAATCTTCTTCTCTGCTCCTAGGTATTAAATAAAACCAACTAAGTACATAGTTATGATAAGCAAGAGTGCCTCTACCAAAATTGTGAATTTTATGGCCCCAGGGTCAGGGGCTCTGGTGTTAGGGTGGGGCTCTATTGATTATATATGGTGAAAATACATGATTTCTTTGAAAATCTTCTTCTCTGCCCCTGGGTATTAAATAAACTAACTAAGTACATAGTTATGATGAGCAACAGTGCTTCAACCAAAATTGTGAATTTTTTGGCCCCAGGGTCAAGGGTTCTGGTGTTAGGGCGGGGCTCTATTGATTATATAGTAAAAATACATGAATTCTTTGAAAAACTTCTTCTCTGCTCCTAGGTATTAAATAAACTAACTAAGTGCATAGATATGATGAGCAAGAGTGCTTCAACCAAAATTGTGAATTTTATTGCCCCAGGGTCAAGGGTTCTGGTGTTGGGGGGAGGGGGCTTTATTGATTATATAGTGAAAGTGCACAAATTCTTTGAAAATCTTCTTCTTTGCTCCTAGGTATTAAATAAACTAACTAAGTACATACTTATGATGAGCAAGAATGCCTCTTCTAAAATTATGAATTTTATGGCCCCAGGGTCATGGGTTCTGGTGTTAGGGCGGGGCTCTATTGATTATAGAACTACATTAAATCTTTGAACATTTTCTTCTCTGTCTCTGGGTATGAAGCAGATGAACTACCTATATAGTTATGATGAGCAAGGGCCCTTATATTGCAGAATTGTGAATTCAAAGCCCCAGGGTCAGGGATGGGGGGGGGGGGGGCTCTACTTATATACTGATTATGAATGAAATCTGCTCCTTTGTATTTAAAAAACATTTATTTATTTTTGATAGGCAATTTTAAGGATGCCTATTTAAAATTTGTGCAATGTGTGGACCTAGGGTCAGGGGTTTATGTCACAGTGTTAGGGGCACTACTGATTATTGCTGAATATTACTGATTAGTTGGAATGCATTTTTGTTCCCCTACCCTGCCTATGGGTATTCAGTAACCAAGCTAAGCAACTAATAAGTGTATTGTTATGATGATCAATGGTGCCTCTTTCAAAATTCTGAATGTCATAGCACCTGGCTTAAAACATGAATCAAATTCAATAACTGGAAAGTTGTTGCATAATGCTCAGGTGACCTATAAGGCCCGTGGGCCTCTTGTTATTTTTAGTAGCCATGGCAACACCGTTCATCGAAATCCAAAATCGATATACAGAATTATGTACCTTAGTGTAGTCTACTTGTGTACTTAGTAATATTGAAATCAGTAGGAGGAGTACCATTTTGAAAAATTGTTTACAGACGGACGGACGGATGCATTACTATTGCATATTAAGGTCATACGCAACGTAGTTTGAACATTATTGGGTTCTTCCCTGGAGTTGAAGAGTTCCACTAAATGAAGGACCTGTGTGCAATACTTTCAATGTCTATATATGGATTTGTACAACTCTTCTAAAACAAATTTTGAAGAAAAAGAATCTGGAATTTATGTTTTGTAATTTTTGTACATTTTTCTTTGACAAATGCAAAAATTTTCATAATCTGATATCTTTTCAAAACCCCGGGTAACACATGCTGATTTATCAGTAGGTAAAGTACCTTGCGTATTGTCCTTAAGCTCTTCTAATCTCATAATCATATTATTCAATACTTATGCAGTGATTGATGAATTTTTGGGGGGTATACGAAGGTTGTTCGGAAAGTTCGTGGACTATCACCATAAAGAAGATGGGTGTATTTGGCGTGTAATCTGCAGGAATCATTTGTACGAAACATTTATGGTTTAAATGTCCATGATTTGGTTGGCGGAACATAGCTGGTCAGATTTTTTATAGCATCAGTCCACGAACTTTTCGAACAACCCTCATATATTAGATCAGAGGCATACGCCACTTTCGATATCATCATCTACGATACATCAACACCATGGAATCTCTTAAGATTCTTCACGCCTCACTGCTTTATTGTCACGGGTATTGACGTGGAATCATTATGGCGACCCGTGATCGTGCTGGTTATTTTGCATTACTTTTGTTTCCATTTTACTGCACTAACGTGTATCTGTGTTTCTTTGTATACTGCACTGACCTGTACAACTATAATTGTAAGTTGTGATATAAGTTTCTTTGGTATCATACTTTATGCATTAGACGAAGTATTACGTTATTATTGTCGCTACCGAGTGCTGTATAGCATGCGTCCGTCTACACCGGTGTCGACTAATTACACGGAACGGTGACAAAGTCTTGCCCTTTATATAGGGGTCTGCAAATATAGCGATTCTCCGAACAAAAATGGTGGACACGTTTATTTTACGAATCGTGTTCAGCTTTAATTTTGATGAAGATTGTCAGTCACGATTATATCTTGTTTTTGGACTTGACCTGATTTAAAGTAGATAAGATAAGGAAACTATATGTACTTTAACAAATAGCAATCAAGCTCACAGTTACTTTGGCTCCACTTAAAACTTTTCATGTTAAATGTTAACTCAACAGCCAATGCCAACACTTCAATATTCGGTGAAATAATTTCGTATACTTGTGAGTTCATTTAATTTCAACTTTCCCAATAATTGTTCTTGTTGAAATTGACACTTATGTTATAAACAAGGAAACATATCTAAACCCTTGTCGTCTAAATCCTGTTATATTAAAATTACTCATGTAAAATAAAGTTACAACTTACTGAAGTACCCAAAAACAAATGCTTTGTAAATGTTAAATGAACATTTAATTTTAGATTTAGGAGCCTTTTTAAAACTGAATGTAAGTATAAAATTAATTTTTTTTTTTTGTTTCTTTTTGTTTGATTTTTTTTTGTGGATTATTTTTTTTTAGTTTATTAAATGTTTACTTTTGAAAACATATTTATCAAAACCAATTATATCTATGCAGGCAGTTAGATGTGTAAAACATATTGTTATATGATTTCAAAAAATACTTATTTTTTTCTGCGCTTTAGAATATAGCATGTTTAAATATGCACAATGTTCACATGAAATTATTCTATGGAACTTTTTAAAACTCATATTGTCTTTTTCTTTACAAAAGGTGATTGGGCTTTTAAATAGGTGCTTGCTAAGAACTACGAACTCTAACTCTTGATTCCCGCCTACATTTTGCACCCATTAAATTCAATATTAATGGCAATTTGGTCATTAAATCTTTGTTTAATACATTTATAGTTTTAATTCCAGCGGTTGATAGTAAATTATCATTAATTCCAGCTCTTAAAAAAAGGGGGTAGACGATATTTTCTGGTGAAATCGAACTTTTAAGAATCACCATATTTTGAAATAGTCTTAAATATGATAAAATGTATCTCATATCTTTTCTTATGTTTTACGCTAATAAATAAAACATATATAAATTAATAATATACAATTATTTAGTTGTAAATAATTTTAAAAGTTGTGAAAAATCAGCATTTTTTTCGTTTTTTGTCTATAAACATATGTTCCCCCCCCCCCCGTGAAACACAAAAAGCTTTGGCATAAATTTGTAAAATGACAGTTCATATTACCTGTAAAAAGGAATTTTTGTTTCACGGGGGGGGGGGGGGAAGATGTTTTAAAAATATTTTCCGTTTTCCGTTGATTTCTATAGTGAAAAACACAAGTTTTACCAAAATTATAGAGTTATCTCTCTTTGGTATCCCAAATAAGTAACGTTTTATGACAATTCATATAAATATCTAATAAAAATTTTGAAAATCATTTGAATATGTTAACTTTTGAGAATTGACTTAGAGGTAGGCGGGAGAACAATACTATCGTTCGTTGTTCTTTATTGTGCTCGAAAATATATCGGTTATATTGACATACATATATCTATTAAAAGATTTACGTAAAATAGAATTGCTTCATGAGAACAATCATATTAAATAAACTATGACTAATATATTAAGACAAAAATATCCAGGTCAACAACACAAAAAACTGAAACGTGGTGCATAATGGCGGAAGGCAGGTATAGGCAGGTAAACATGTTTTTATTTTCATAAATTTTTCCTTGATTTAGATTATAAACGTTAAGTTTTGTTGTTAATTAACTGTTATCAATGAATTGTTATCAAAGTTATAGAAGAATCCACAATAAATTATTAACGTGTAATCTTTGTAATTGTGAGAATCCAAAATAAATATTGGTATAAATTAATATACTTACAGAATTATGAAAATGAATATCACCAGCTGGACGACAAAAATTCATATGTTGAACTGGTAATTTATATTGACAATAGTCTTATTTTTACAATTGAAATAATATGTGCACTATTAAAGAACAACGTAAGTAATTTTAAACTTTTCTAAAAAAAAAAAAAAAAAAAAAAAAAAAAAAACCCTTAAAAGAAAAAGACAACAAATGCATGAATTACGGTATTTTATTACAAATTGGAATAAAATAGTTTTTTGTTAAAATGTTAATAAGTGATAAATGTAAAACAACAAACACGATAAAGAAACAAGAGAAAGTTTCGAAATTTAATGAGCAAAATTAGAATAGTAAACATGTTTGTATATACTATAGGATCAAAAACATGTTCGTATATACTATAAGATCAAAAACATGAACATTCAGCGATTGTATTTGGTTCCTGTTTAAATCCAAAAGCCATGAAATTCACAAATTTTGAAAGAGGCACCATTGCTTATCAAAGGGAAACGAGGAAAACGTAATGACTTCGATTTCCTTTTTCATGTAGATCCCGAATTTGGAAACAGATTTCGAAGAGGTAGAAGCAATAACACATCATAATACATCGAGGATTTGTTTAAAAACAGTTGTCATCTCCGTCTTCTCTGTCGCAGTCGTCGGCTTTTTAACGATGACAGTTTTATATATTCAGGAAAGAAGTAAACGGCAAAATGAAAATGACGGTAAATTTTATACTTTCAAAATACTGTATTTAATGCATTTGTATCATTTCATGTCATTTCTTTTCGTATTTCAAGGTGAAGGCAAAACCAGATGGCTTCCTTAAGATTTCTTTTCATACCACTACGCTCCACATTCATGTAAACCCTTTACTGAATAGACTGACTTTGACGGAATAAACATTCGGGCCGTACAATGAGGATACTAAGTTTAACATCGATAAGCCACTCTAATTAACCAATCAGAGCGAATAAAATAGAAAATGCAGGGAAATATTGAAAGTAGGTTAAAATCTCAATTTTTTTACTTCAAAGCAGAGACAAGTCATGCCCTTGTTTATCTAATAGTTTAATTATTAACTGGTTTTTTATTCTGTTAATCTTTCATGAAAACTTTGATAAGGTCAATCAGAGAGAGCATCCTATAGTCAGTCTATTTCCTCAAATGCTTTTGTAGATCTGGATTAGAAACCCCTAATTTAGGAAGATGGCTGATGGGAAAAAAGTATGAGTTTAAGAGAGTAAGATTGCACTTGCAAATTGACATTTAACCACATTGGCACAAGACATGTTTGTCGAGTGTCCATTTGCACTTTTCCCGAGTATCATATACATGTACGGCTTTGTAAAATTTCCTACTTCAATTTTGTGATTCAAGAGTATTGAAATTTTGCGAAGAGCGCTGACTTTTACAGTCCACAACTTATTTTTACACTTTGACAATATACGGAAATTCTTTTGCAGTAAAAAATAATCCAGCTCAACGTTGAATTTTACTAATATAGAAAGTTTTCGACCTGCCAAAATTTAGCAAAAGTTACCTTCCGTTGGCCGCCATATCGGAGGTCGACTAGGTGATTTTCCCTCTCTGTCTTACCATGTTTGAGAGGTTGCAGCAGAAATATTTGGTGGAGAATCTTTATTACATTTTTTTCAAATAAAGGAAGCTTCCAAAAATTTATATACTTCTGGAAAAAAAGAGCAAATATGAAAATTAAAAATTGAATGAACAATATAGGAATATGAGCATTTGGACTTCCAATATGGCGACCAACGAAAAAAATTACTCTTGCTAAGTCGAAAACTATCTTTACCGAGCTGAAATAAGCACACACAAGTTGTCCATAAAGAATCCGAAAACAATCTTGCCCTAAATTGCGCCTGACACATTTAATACATTGATTTTGCTGGGTGAAAAAACTATTTTAAAAATAGATTAATCAAATGAAGCCATGAACAACGTTATTTTTCTGACATGTAGGTACACTGTAGTTTTTTTTTTTTTAAAGATGAGTTGACAAACAACTTTTTTTACTCAAGATATTTTCTTAAATTCATTGAAATTTCTATGAAAGCCTTTTTAACAAGTTAAACATTTTTATTTCTATATCTATCCCAAGGGGAAACTGTTGGTCAGAACCAGAAAACAGTGGTTTGCCCTAATGAACCCTTTAAAGGAATGAATTATTCTACAGCAGGAAAAACAGGTACCGGGTACTTCAAGGAGTTTAAAAAATATTTTGTATTGTTTATTTACCGACTTTGATATTTATATGTTGTTCGTTATCTCCATATATCCTTCTTATATTTATTTTAATGTTTTGAAAAGCTTTTTTATGCCCCGAATGGAAAGATCCGGAGGGGTATTTTTTGTCCTGTCTGTATGTTTGTTTGTTGTCAACTGTAACCGATCCCATAACTATTGCGCTGTCGAGGGTAAGTGTCTTTAACTTCAGACAGTCTTCGTCCAACTCTAGATTTTTGTAACCATCACGGGCATAGTATTTCACAAACGCATCTTGTTAAATTATGCTAACGTGTTTAACATTTTTATCATTCGGTTTATAGGAATTCAGGGACGCCAGTTTTTGGTCTGTGTTACTGACAATCTCAGCATGGCAAGTGACCAAACCAAAACCATATATATTTTATCGGATGGAGATTTTGAGTTTAAATTAATTTCAAAGTTTTCTACACAGCTCTTCAATGAAGTTGTTACACCAAGGATAAATGTTAGGGAAATTAGCGTTACAAGTGCGATTTCACTCTCAGATTTCAAAATCGAAGAAAAAGCACTGCAGATCGAGACTTCTAGAGACGTGTTCGTTATCATCATTGACAATTATATACATACTTCTGATAGCACTAGCACTTTACCAATTAAATCAACATCAAATTCATACGTCATTTCTACACCCAGGGCGTTTAGCAAAACAACAGGTCCACAATTTGCAATAGCCTCCCGAAGGAACAGTACTACAATCAAAATACACTTTCAGTTTGATCCCGATTTGCCAAAGAAAGTAAATGGAATAACGTACCAAAATGGCAGTGTAATGCATCTCGTCTTACATGAGCTTGAAACATATGAAATATACCATAGAGTCGACATGTCAGGAACCTTTATTGAATCAACATATCCAATCGCAGTATTTTCTGGAAGTTACTGTACTGAAATAGGTTTTAAAAACAGCACTGATTTTGGATCTTGCAGTAAGCTTGTAAACAACTTCCACCTATTGAAAGGCTGGATAAAATGTATATAGTCCCGCCTAACTATAACAGAATGAGAACAATCCTGAAAATTGTGTCACCTTTCCAAACCCGACTTACATATTAGATTGGAAATAAACAAACGGAGAAAATACTTCACCCGAGAGGATATTTTGAAATAACTTTTTCTGATAAAGAAGTCGTCGTCATAGACTCAGAAAAGCCGGTTTTGGTTACCAGCTTTGCCACTGGGTCTAGCGAAACGGGTAACCCTTACATGATTACTGTACCAGGAATTCGACAATATACAAATAAATATCGAGTTATGGTTCCTGGAGGTTTCAGAGAAAGATACGTCGCTATAATAGTTGAGGAAAAATCACTAATCAATTTGATGCTAAACGAAACAAAAATCATTCATTACTTGAATGACGGAAAATTCTATACAACCGTAACATTCTGGAATATTAACTTTGTCGTTGTTGTTTTACAGGTACAGGGAGGTTTTTAAGAGTTGAATCGACAAACAATGCGGCGTCCGGGTTAATCGTATATGATCATACAAAAAGAGATGAACAGGGGTTTGCAGGGAAAGAAGTTTTGCCGGACATGTGTGTGTCCCCTCCAACAAATAATTCCATTTCTTTTTCCTCCTTTCATTTTTTTCGAATGTGGAACCATTGTCCGGAAAGAATATCGGTACATACCCTCTTATTTCACCATTGAAGTTTTGTGTGTTTAGCTCACCTGTCCGTCCGTCTGTAAACTTTTGACATTTTCACCTTCTCAAGAACCACTGGGACAATTTTAACTAAACGTGGTACAAAGCATCTTTGGGTAACGGGGAGTTTAAATTGCTAAAATGAAAGGCCAAGTCCCCTTACTAAGGTAGATAATCAAGAAAAGACAAATATAGGATGGGGCCATTAAAAAATATCTTCTCAAGAACCACTGGGCCAGAAAATCTCAAACTTATATGGAAGTATCCTGGGTAGTGCAACTTCGAAATTGATAAATCATGACGTCCAGGGGTAATGTGGTGTCACAATAGGGAATCCATGTTTTACATAGAAATATTTAGGAAAAATCTTTAAAAATCTTCTCAAGAACCACTTTGCCAGGAAAGCTGACATTTATATGGAAGCATCCTGGAATAGTGTATATTTTATATGTTTAAAATCATGACCCCATGGGGTAGGTCGGGGCAACAATAGGGAATCCAAATTTTACATAGGAAAATCCTTAAAAATCTTCTCAAGAACCACAGGGCCAGATAAGCTGACACCTATGTGGAAGGATAATGGGGTAGTGTAGAATCTAATGTATAAAAATCGTGACAGTGGAGGGGTTAGGGGGCCGCAATAGGTATAACAAGAGGGAACTCGGGTAAAGAATCGCATCACCAAAGTTACTAAGGTGAGCGATGTGGCCCATTGGCCTCTTCTTTTTCATTTAACACCGAGTAAAGCGCTGTATGTTCCTTACTTTGATGTGTTAATTTGAAGACAAAAAACTTTTATTATTGGTTGGCATGACTGTATATACAAGTATGTACGAAATTAAAATTTAATTAATTTATTTAATAATATTAGATGTGCATGCATGTGTATAATCAATTATCTTTGTACTCAAGAAATGGAGAGAAAATGTTGCTTAAATTTAAATTCAAAGACAAAAGAAAATAAAGTTTTGCTTCCTGTAATTAAATCAATTAAGCGAGAACTCTCGTGAGGTGAGACTGTATCGATGCAACTTACACATATGCCTAGGTCACATATTAGTCGATTGTCAGCGATACAATTTTTCTCGTACTGCTCGCGTAAAAAAATGATCGGCCAACACAGGTATCGGACGATATAAAGAGGTCTTTAGTCCGTCTGTCCGACCGTCTGTCTGTAAACTTTTCGACTTCTTCTCAAAAATCGCTGGGCCAATTTCAACCAAACTTACCACAAAGCATTCTTGGGTGAAGGGGATTCAAGTTTGTTCAAATGAAGGGCCAGGCTCTCATTCAAGGGGAGATAATTGGGAATTAATAAAATTTGTTGGCATGATTTAAGAATCTTCTTCTCAAGACCCACTGTGTAAGGAAAGCTGAAACTTATATGGAAGCATCCTGGGGTAGTGTAGATTCAAATTTTTTTTCAAATCATGACCCCCGGGGGTAGGCAGGGGCCACAATGGCTGACCAAAGTTTTAATAGAAATGTATAGGAAAATTCTTTAAAAATTTTCTTCTCATGTACCACTGTGCCAGGAAAGATGAAACTTATATGGAAGTATCCTCAGATAGTGTTGATTCAAGTTTGTTCAAATCATGACCCCCGGGGGTAGGGCGGGGCCGAAATGGCCGACTAATGTTTTACATAGAAGTAGATATAGGAAAAACCACTATGCCACAAAAGCTGAAACTTATATGGAATCATCCTCAGGTAGTGTAGAGTCAAGTTTGTTCAAATCATGACCCTCGGGGGGTAGGGCGGGCCAAAATGGCCGATCAAAGTTATACATAGAAATATATTGGAAATTTTTTTTTTAAATCTTCTTCTTAAGAATAGTAAAGCCATACTTGATCATATTTATATGGAAGCATTAAGGGTTGTTTAGATTCATGCTTGTTCAGATCATGACCCCAAGGGGTAGGGCGGGGCCACAGTGGACGACCAAAGTTTTACGTAAAAATATATTGGAAAATTCTTTAAAAAATCTTTTTCTCAAGAATAGTAGAATCATAATTGATCATATTTGGAAGCATCCTCAGGTAGTGTAGATTCAAGTTCGTTCAAATCATGACCTCCAGGGGTAGGGCGGAACCAAAATGGCCATCCAAATTTTTGCATAGAAATATATAGGAAAATTTTAAAAAATTTCTTCTCAAGAATAGCAAAGCCATGATTGGTCATTGGACTACTTTTGGATTAAAACTTTTCAATAATAAACCAAATTTCTACTTTTCTTAGCCACAGTGCTCAGGTGAGCGATGTGGCCCATGGGCCTCTTATTTAAATATAATAATTAGTTATGCCCTCCATTGATCTTATGTTAAACAAATGACTGTATTGTAAAAAATGCTTGAAAACCAGTTCCCATTTGGTGCTGCAGCTTTGTTATTTTTTACTTCCTTAAAACACTAAAAGACATTGTTTGATGAATATTGTCAATTATTAATGACGAAAATAACAACTAAATACAAATAAACTACCTTACCTACTAGGGAGATCCCAGACAAACGTACAGAGACTTATTGAGCACCTAATATCACAATGGCAGCGGGATCTCCCTAAAGTCTAAGCAAGACATGATTATCATTGCTGAATGTTCATTTATAAGATGGGAGATCACCAGGTAACATATATACATGTACAACAATGGCAGGGGGATCTCCCTGTGATATGAAAAATCAAAACAATGTAAAAATTAAGGTGGCATATACAAAAAATTTTTTTAATCATTAGTATGCTATAACATTATGTAATGACAGAAAAAGAAAACATACACGCATTAAAACAAGACAGAATATTTACATTTACTTTGACCCATTAATAACAACTAAAGTTGACTGAAAATGTATTAGGATATGCCATAGATTGAACATATATATATATGTTTTAAAAATGTATTAGGATATGCCATAGATTGAACATATATATGTATGTTTCGTAAGGTCGTTCTTTATCTGTGGTGAAATATATTACAGCTTATCTCCAAGATGTGAATATTTTCCTTTTTCTAATGAACCCTTAAAATAATCGCCAGTATATTATTTTTTTTTTAAAGTCTATAGTTTAAAGGCAGTAATTAAAAATGGAAAATTCAGTCATTCAGTTGAAATCCACTGCAACACAATTTCTTGCATTTTTTTTCTATGTTGAAGAATGATGGCCAAATATATGAACCGGTAGTTCTTTTTAATTATATAAATACTTGCAAGTTTATATATTTCTTCAGAAATAAAAGTTCCCTCCTGGTGTATTTTCTTCTCAATTAAGACTGAATCTCTTCTTCAGTTATATATATATTTTTTAATTTTATTTTCTGCTTTCACTTTCTCATTTCGTTTAACTTTTTTTAGAAGGATTTTTGGCAATTATTTTTATATTTTTCTTATGATTTATTAAATTGAAGTTTTAATGATCTTAGAAAAATCTGCTTGGCTTATTGCATCAATAGGTCAGGTGTGCAAACTTCCTTGCCTGTAACTTGTTGTAGAGCGCTTGTTGCAGACATCTGTGCTAGTGTCAACTACTAATTTGTCCACTAATAAAATTTATTCCGTCTGTTACAAACATGATAAAGACATTGCGGGACGACAAAGGATGCTTACTCCTTCATAGTTTCTGATATTAGATGTGCTTAGTTTTAGAGGCCTATGTTTCCCGTGGTCCTGGTTTTTATTAATTTAATGGGATTTTGAGCATGATAGCTGCGCTGCTTCTTTTCTGCTTATTGCATTAGAACTTATTTGTTCAAAACTACTTTGTTGTCATCCTTTCTAGCTTGTCGCTTAGCAAAGGCATTAGCAGCATGAATCTTAGCTAATCGCTTATTAGTATTTTGTTTAAAATCCCTGACTTAATTGTACCGAGTGATTAAGTCTGCTGTATAGAACTTGTTTCCAATTATAAAATCTGTATTATAAATACATGCAGGAGCTTAGAGTTATCCGTTTTATCAGGATACGAACCGGCGGGGTATCACAGGTAGAAATCTCTCGTGTACGGTAAACTACACAACATCAAACACTGTGCTTTTTAAATTGAAATTGTGAGCAGTGGATCCTATGAAATTCATGTATATTTTATTTTAATTGTAGATAGAGTTCAAAGGTTACAATGGTATAGTGCAAATTATGAGGCAACAGAGAGAAAAAATCGCAGAGGACATGATTTCTCTGGAAATCAAAGAATACAACATGAGGTAGATTGATTGATTGAATATTATTTTTATTTACGCCGAGTCGGCAATTTTTCAGACATGAGGTAGAGAAATTACTTTTGAAATCGATTTCAATCAACCTACTATAGTTTCGTGTTTTTTGCTACGATAATGATGATGGGAATTAAAATCGCTGGCAGTGAAGAGGACCCTGATGATGTTATGTCATGTCCAAATAGGTTTGAGACGATTACTCTGAAATTAGACACAGGGAACGCTTAGTAAAGATAGTCGTGTTGCATATTTTATTTTAAAAAAATAAAGTAAATCAGGAATTAAGGACATTGCGACCGTTTTGAAGAATCTTTGTACTTGCAAAGTCTTACTTCCCTTCGTAATATTCAGCATGAGAAGTGCATAAATTATAAGGTGTACTGATTTGTCTCTATAATTGAAGGTTGTTTATTGCATAATATTGCATTTCCAATTAATCTTTAATATAAAATTTAGGGGGAAAACAAAGACCTTACCAAGTTCTTTGGGACATTTTACACGTTTCTAGATATAGGCATTGTATAGTAAATAAATATCAATATTTTCAACAGTTAAACTCATCTAGCACCTTTAAGTCTTCCCTAAGAAAAG